TCCTGAGCCTCACAATGAAAGCCAGAAAACTAAGAGCCCTACTGTATGTTCTTCATTCCCAGCAACGTTCCTATGAGAAAACCTTATTAATGAGCTTGCAAACGAGCACCCAACAGGGAAATGTCACAAACAAGAGCGGCTAATGCCCCAGAAAATCAAATAACTGAACACTTGGCTGATTGTGGTGCCTTTCATATTTATAATAAAAAGAGGGGGGGGCTTTAATTCACTAATTCTGAAGGGGTCAACACCTTGCTGAACAAAACAACTCATTTATTTATGTTCAGAAATCTCCAGATGATAAATTACATTGATGTTAATCACTTCAATGCATACTACACAATTAATATCTGTACTCACCACGAACTTAAAGATTATTAAAAGTATGACAGCATACACATCTGGCTGATTTTTCACATAATTGGGCACAACAATTTCTCCTGGTACCACAAATAAGGGTCCTAACAAACAAACACTGCAAAATTCTGTGTTCAATTAATTAGGACTTAAATCCACAAGACAAAAGCAATTCCAAGTTATAGCTCAAGCCTTGTCTTCTATGCAATATGGCAGCTCTCCAGTTTACCTCTCCTCCTTTCCCTGTCAGATTTAAAGTAAGCTGTTGAACGATATACAATGTAAGTCTTCGCTATTTCCTTTTTAAAAAATATCTTATACAGAACTCAAATCCATTGTCTGTCATGTAACTCTGGTCATATCCTGGTTAATAGCCATTGGTCTTAGATGGGGAAGAAAACAGTTCCCAGAAGGCTTCACGTAGCAAAATGGGCCAGGACTGAACCAAGTGAATATAATGAATAACAGTTCCAACAGGTTAGAGTTCCCCAAGGCAGTCTCATTTACCCAGAAAAGAGCTGTTCTTAATCTGAGGTCCACGGACCAGTTCAGTATTTCCTGATAATAACCTAACGCTTATAAATGATATTATTAAAAAATCTTTTTAGGTAGCAAAGGACATTAAAAATACTTATGTATTTATTTTGATGTTTACTAAGCATAACACACATAGCAAAATAAAATTCCTAATTTGATATTTTTTCACAGACCTTTGTTAGTGAAAAGCAATAAAGTGACTTAAAGACAAATTCTAAATGAGTGAAGAGTATGGATCATCTGTGGATATGGGAAAACTGGTCCTCGAATAAATGAAGTTAGAAGTCTGTAGGATAAACAGACTCTTTACATTGGAAGCAAAACATGGTGGATATGTGATTTTGTTCATCTTCTCCAGGTCGATGCGACTTTTCAAGGGGTTTTTAAGAAGGTTAAGAAATGCTGATGCTAAGGGTTTGGGCCAATTACAAAATGAGGGTCTAATACTCCTCATAGAGTATCCAAAATGATGCCCCATGAACACAGACTGGCTGCTGAGTCTCATGTATATAAGTATCTCTTCTCATTGCCATCAAGACACGGTGCTGCTCGTCTACAGAGAGAGCCATAAGAGGGATGGGGTTGAACCACTGGCGCTAGTTAACGACCAACAAAGCCTTAGTGCCCAAGCACCAAGCACCTTAGGCATTGGAGGCAGGAGGCTCTTACGGCAGAGCTGCTGGTGTTCAGGAGAGTAAAGCTGGTAGGAAATGAGGTAGAGGATTCCAGTTGTGTCTAGAGGAGCTACTTAAGGAATTCCTAGCTGACTCCGCCAAGTTGTTAGTAGTGCTCCAGGAATGGAGGGTAGTGAATGATCAGACGACTTATTTTCTTTCTTTCCTTTTTTCTTTCTTTCCTTTTCTTTCTTTCTTTCTTTCTTTCTTTCTCTTTTTCTTTTTTTAAAAGATTTTATTTGAGAGAAAGAGAGATTGAGAGAACGAGTGGGAGGAGGGGCAGACTCCCCGTGAGCAGGGAGCCCAACTTGGGACTCAATCCCATGACCCGGGAGATCATGACCTGAGCCAAAGGCAGATGCTTTAAACGACTGAGTCACCCAGACGCCCTGTCTGGTGACTTTCTTGAGCACCAGTCTTATTTAAGATACCAAAGAAGACTCTCAATTCCTATTCAGATTAATATAATGGTTGGCAACTCTTAACTTTCTTTTATGTAAAAAGACTTTCTCTTTATATACGTTCCGAAAAAAATGAAGTATCAAGAAGAAAATGCTTGTGTGGCTCACTATGGATAAAAACAAAAACAAAAACAAAAAACAATAGTCTCCCATAAAAAGGTGCTGAGTAAGGGACAGGCAAGGCTAGGCAGGGAGAGACAGGTAGGGGCCTCTGTAACCAGGCTCACAGAAACCCCAGATGTGGAGAAATATTATAGACAGGATATTAACTAGAAAGAAGGAAATCTAACACATCTACCTTGTTTGTTCTAAATACAGATGAGATATTTTCATAATATTTACAAATCCACCTTGTTTGTCCTAAATTTATAGATGAGGTATTTGTCAAGTTCCCCGGTCAGTTTTCTATAAAAGACCGACCATAAAAATCCCTCAGTGGCAACCCATCTGGGACCCCTCTCACTCTAGAGAGCTTTCCTTTCTGTTCTCACCTTCCCCTAAGAAATTTCCACTTCCTTCACCCTATCGCCTGCAAGATTCATTCTTCAACTCTGTGAGACAAGAACCCTGCAACAGTGCCATGTTAGAGTTAGAGTTAAAAATGATCAATGGGTATGTCTTCGTTTTTGGAAGGCATTGGTCACTTCCCTGTATTTGAGGGCTAGCAGTACTCTAAGACTGAAGCCAAATGGATTCAGATATGCAGCTTTATTCCTTGTTCTTAGAAGGACAAATCTCTCTTGAACCTAAAGAATATGGAAGACAAGGCTTATAAAGATCATTGTCAAGTCTTCCAAGAGGTAGGAGGTGTAGTGCTTAAAATATTTTGCATTTGGGAGTGAGTGTAATTTCATAGGTGGGTGGGGCTGTATTCTATTTGGAAGATACTCTGGGGACACTGAAAGAGTTTAGGGGCAGGGACTGGGTGAATGTCTACTCAGGTTTCACAAAGGAGTTAATGTATTATTAAAGCTAATGGGCCCCTACAAGGAAAGTTAATGGATATTAAGTTTGCTTAAATGAATTACATATTAACAAAGTCACAAGAAATCTACTATCTGCCAATTTAGACAATATCTGATCATTTCTGTTTTCCCATTATAGGGACATTACAGCACAATAGTTTTAGTGATATGAAAATTATAAGCATGATGCCCATAATGAAGCTACATAATGATGGAGATGAAATGAATTAACAAGAAAAACCTGCATTATGTAATGTTAAATTGAGCCAAACTTAACAGAGTAAGAAAAGGCTGGAATGGGATTTGTGTCTTAGAAGCAACTTTTTACATTTAATTTTAGCCACAAGGTGGAGAAGCGATTAGAAGCCACTTTTTACACCTTTCCCTGGCCCCTGTTTTGCTCAGGCAATGTATACATGTGATAGAGATTGTAGCGGGCTGAACGGTGGCCCTCAAAAGACACACTCACTTCCTAGCCCCGGAACCTGCGTATATGGCCTTATTTGGAAAAAGAGGTCTTTGTGGATGTAATCAAATTCAGGATCTTGAGATGAGACCATTCTGGATTAGCTGGGTGGGCACTAACTCCAACAGCAAGTATCCGTCTAAGAGACACGCAGAGAAGAGGAGAAGACCGTGTTGAGACCAAGCAAGAGACTAGAAAGACATGGCCAGAAACCAAGGAATATCTGGGACTCCCAGAGGCCAGAAAAGGCAAGAAAAACTCTTCTCCTAGAGCCTTTTGAGCAAGCGTGGCCCTGCGAACCCCTCAATTTTAGTCTTCTGTCCTCTAGAACTATGAGAGAATCAATTTGTCGTGTTAAGCCACGAAGTTGGTGGTAATTAGTCATGGTAGCGCTAGGAAATTAACAGAAGAATTAATAGACTGTAATGCTTTGCCTTTATCAGACCCCTGGCAGTTGCCTTTCCAACCAGACTCTTATACCATTCCCACTATGCACACTCAAGTATCAACTGCAATCTTTCAGAGGCTCAGTTACAGAAGCTCTCTGATAAAAAAGTGAGAAGTTGGCTACTTGGCCACAACTTTGCTGCAAGGATGGTTTTGTGCAGAAAACATTTTGGCAAGCAGAGGAGTCCACAGAGAAAATAAGGAGAATGTCTTTAGTTCATTGGGCACAGTGAGGAGACAACCTCACTCCCCACGATCTAGCTGTTATTGATGAAGCCATTGAGATTGTGGCACCGATCCCAAAGAGTTCCATTTTTAAACTCATTGCCATACTTTAAGCTAAAAATGGAAGAGAACATGCACTTTAAGAAAAAATGCTGATGGAGAAGGGGAATAAAAGTCCCTCTATAACAAAAAAATTCAGCACTTCTGCTGGGGCTAAGAAAGTGGGAGGGACTACCCTACATTGTGAAGTTGACATAGAAATGATTATAGTCAACACTCATAAAATGCAATTAATTAAGTCATGTGATAGAACAGATTGGAATCATTTTAAAGTTTTACATTTGGGTTAAATGTAGTATTTTGAAAATCCTCTTTGGCACTCTGTAGTATGGCAGTGTTTCACTAAAATAATCCTTTGATTATTTTACTACTAAGACAACAAGATATAAACCCTATCATATGTATTCAATAAATGGCTTCTGAAGAGTTTTTAAGCAACTGCTACTCTATGCCCTCAGGATAAAATACTCAGGTACTGCTACGATTTGAACGAACGTTTGTGTCCCTCCCTTCCCAAATTCCTATGTTGAAATCCCAATACCCACTGGGATGATATGAGGAGGCGGGGCCTTTGAAAGCAGCTCTGGAGATCTCTAGCCCCTTCCGCCCTGACAGGACATAGCAAGAAGGCAGCGGTTCCGAACCAGGAAGAGGGAAGGCTTTCTTTAGAACACAACCGTGCTGGTGCGCCTTGATCTTGGACTTCTTAGCCTCCAGAATGGTGAGGAATAAATGACCGTGGCTTATGAGCTACTCACTCAGTGCTACTTTGTTAGAATAGCCTGAACGGACTAAGACAGGTACTCACACTGTACTTCAAGGTACCGCTGGGTCTGCAAGTTTCCGGTGACAGCTGGGTGCTCCACCTGACAGATCACTGGGACCCCGTCGTCCTCCTTGTGCACCTTCAGCATCAGCTGACTGGTCACAGTGTACATGTCTGACCACTCCTCCACCTCCGATTTGCCTGGGGGACACGGAATATACCAAGAACTCAGAGTTGCATGAATTCCTATCACTCTGTTTCTATAGACTCCTCTCCCTGCCCTGACATTGCTATTTTAACCAAGATGATGGAAGCCACTCGGGATAAGGTTAAACTGTGGGTAGATAACGGGTAAAATGATAATTTTCTACTTTCCAACCTTACAGGATAGTATGTAAGATGCATTTCTACCCCACATAATAGATTCTATTTTTATTTAAATATATTACATATGTTGTCTTCTATCTTAAAACCTCCCACAAAAAGGCAGCTGAAAGTTGAACCACTTTGCCATCTGACTGCTTATGGCATTTTGGAGGAGGAAAAGAGAAGTGCTTTTCACCCCTAACCACCATCTGAACTTGAAACGTCTAGTAGGCTGTCATGCGGTTTAAAAATTCCAGGACATCATCCAAATCCCCGAAGTAATTCAATCAGGAATAGAGATATAAACAATCCCCTCTGCCCACTCCCATCAGCAACAATTAAGAGGGAAAGTAACTAAATGGATTTACATAATTGAAATTGTAATTGAAATGTTTAAACCCTGAGACTTTTAGAAGACCACAAAAACAACAACAACAACAACAACAAAAAACCCGCAGTGGCAACGGGGAGAGCAAAGTAAGATAGAGGCTTCGGGCCAGACGGGAGACTCGTCCAAGAACACCCATAAAAGGAGGGGGGAGGCTTCCGGATGGGATGAATAGGCCAAGGCAGATCCTTTCCTGAACTCAGCACTCCCCGGGACATGGCGTACCATTAACTTTCTTTTAATGTTTTGTACTTATCGGTACGCATTTAATGGCTCAGTTCACTTAGAAAAGAAGAGGGGAAATGAGAAACTCCTTCCTTCCAAAACCATACCTAGGAAATAGGAGATTAAAACAGAGCAAACTTTTTGAAACTTAAGCTGTTATATATAGATTTATCTGTTTCTAGATATAGATTTTTATATCCCCTTTCTAAAAGGCTTTATTCTTTTCTTCCTGGTACTCTTGATTTATTCAAGAAGCACACACCGAGCACTTACCTTGGCCCAGATACCAGCTACATGCTTTACAAACATTCACTCATTTCATCTGCCTGAGAATCTCCTACAATCTGTAATATTAATATCCCCATATTAGCAGAAATTGCTAAACACAGCTGACGTTTCTGTCAAATGACCAGAGCTGTCTGGCCCCCAGTTACTACTTGCAAAGCAACCTTGGAAAGCAAGGGGTAGGAAGGCTGACACACACGTGTTAACTCAGGATGACTGACACAGAAGGGTCAACTAGGGGACAGGCTGTGGCTGAGGCGCTGGCTAAGGGGGGCAGATATTTGAGGGTACAGGAATCAACCCTGGGGTGGACTAGGCCAAGGTTAAAGGAGTGGCCTGCATCACTATCACAAACTGCAAACTTTGCAAAAGAGCAGGCTGGTGAAATGTGCACGTGAGTTACAGATTCCATGAGAAAGGGGGTGCCTGCAGATCCACAATTAGGATCCGATCCTTCCTATACTTAACACACCTGCCCCTATAGGAAAGCACAGTCAGCAAGCTGATGGCGCAGTAATCCATGTTAGAATGACTCAGAATTCACCACCAAGACTGGTAGCCTTTTTTTAAATGTCCAACGTGAGAATCTGGGGCACTGACCCACCCGAGGTCACAGGGTGAATGAGAACTGAGGGACAACATGGACACCCGGAGCTCAGGGGACACCACCAACAGTGACTCTTCCTGGTCTAAAGAGTTCTAGTTCTTTCTGAGCATCGGAGTCAAAATCTAGCAACACCACAAACCATGAGAGACGATGGACTCTGAAAAACAAACTGAGTTTTCTAGAGGGGAGGGGAGTGGGGGGATGGGTTAGCCTGGTGATGGGTATTAAAGAGGGCACATTCTGCGTGGAGCACTGGGTGTTATACGCAAACAATGAATCATGGAACACTACATCAAAAACTAATGATGTGATGTATAGTGATTAACAGAACATAATAAAAAAAAAATCTAGCAATACCTATCACCACAAACCCTCAAACAATAGGGGGAGGATACGCATTAGATTCAATAAAATGCCTTTATCCTCCAGCTTCAGACACATTTAGTAATTGATTACGAGCCCTATCTAAGTGGGCATTTTTGGTTTAGGGGCATGTTTGGCATTCATCTTTAATTTCCCTCAAGGTGTGGCCCTGCTGGAGTCAGGCGCCTGCCCACTACTTCCGGATAGGGCAGGCTGCGTCTCACCTTTTAGCTCCTTGTTTCCTTTGAACCACCTGATGGTCGTGGCTGGTTTGCTGGCCATGGCAGTGCAGTTGACTTCAATCTCCTCGCCTTCCACCGCTGTGTCTTTCTGGATATCGATCATCAGGTTGCGTGGTGGGACTACAAATTAAACACAGAATCCATTTCTGCACATAGTCTTCTTTTCATTAGAAATTCGTACCACCACTACTACCAAAAAGAGGAGACAACTAATGGACATTCCTGATGGGATTTTAAAACAAACTGCCACCGGAGGGGGAAAAAGACGTACAAAAGTCATCATCAAAGAGTGTGAATTATGTGAAAGTTGTTAATTCAGAATTTCTTTCCTAAAGTTATCCTATAAAATGCCCAGCCTCCCACTCCTAAGTCATCAGTGACCAAGTTATAACAACAGCGGTATTAGTTATCCATCGGTTATTAGAAAACTGACCAGAATGTAGATCTAAAAGTAAGACGAGTACACATGAATGAATTTATCATCCTCATCAGGAAGGATCTGGAAGGACTATCTGTCCTTGAACTCAACCCTTGGATTTCAATCTTCATATGAAAGATTCCAAAGACAACCAGCAAAGACCAAAAACTTAGAGTCCCTTAAAAGAATCGCTCACCATAAACACACACGGAAAACTTGTGCTTTAGAACCAGTTTCGTTCAGTTAAAATTATCCACAGAGAACTGGGATACAATCATGACTTCCAATGGACAGCGTAGTAATAAAATCCACTGGATGGGAAGATGCAGTAAGATAGGACATGCCAGTTAATTTGTAGTAATTTTTCCATGTTCTGAAATCAGATTTTAGAAAGCAAAGGTGAAAAAGACTATTAAGTGCCTGCAAGTCCATTTTATATGTCAGAATTAAAACCACTCTTCTTTAAGCATATTAAGCATATGTAATAAGATAGAATAAAATATTTGGGGTATAAAGTGCAAAATATCAAATCCAGAGTAGGTAGGGTGACGGGGACGGTGAGAAAACATGTTATCTTTTATGAAACTGAGTTGACGGCGAGACTTCACATCAGGTGCAACCTTACCACAAGACGAAACTTCTTGAAATAAAAATCAGTAAGAATACGGAATTCGGCAGAGTGAATCTCAGACCCATGTGCCCTGACCACCATGAATAAGCAAAGACAGTTCTGAGACTTATGATTAATAAGTTTCTCAACTCAGAAGAGAAACAAGAAATTAAATATGTATAAACATGCCATCCTGATGATCAAGTTGAATAATAAATCTCTGATACTGCTTCAATAAATTATGGGATTAAACCATGTATTTGGGATTTCCAACTGTTCGAGTCCCAATGTAAAATTCTGTGTACAGGAAGACTTTTACATTGAATTGAAGCACTTGAAAATTCCTACAGAGAACGATGGAAAAGGAAAAGGAAAAATGGTATGTTGCGTATATTCCTCAGCAAGACAGTGTGGGGGGGGTGTGTGTGTGGGGGTGAATATTAGAGCAATAGCAGGTCTCTTCTTTGTTCTCTGTGTAAAAGGAAAAGAACACATTTGCTCAATTGGATGTGTTGCCAATGCGATATGGCCCAAATGAGTAGTTAAACATGGCAGAGAACTACCCTCGCTTACATTAAAAAAAAACAACAACAACAAAAAAAAAACAAGCGTAAAGAGAGATAGTCTAACATCCAATTTGGAGTTGCACATCTGCCAGCATTTTAAGAGACACAGAAAGGCAGCGACAAAAGTAAATGGGACGACTTCAGCTAGCTATTTCCTGAACGTGGATATTCTTGCCAGATGACAGTCGGGATGGTTATAGATTTTCATCACACACACCCAGAGAGTTAATAGGGAATACACACAGAGACTAGATGTTTTGGACCAACAAAAGTACCAAATTCCGAGTGTGGTATCGTAGGAATATTGAAATAAAATGCTATTGTTAGAGTAAATGTCAGAGGAAAAGATTGCCCAAGCCTGAAAAAAATAAGATCTTGGCGAGCTAGGGGGAGCAAAGTAGGAGGCCAGAAGACAAAACCACCACAGAGTAAAAGACATAGGAACGCCCCCCCCCCGCCCCCCACATGGAGAAATGAAAGTCAGACAATAGTAATTCCTGTTAAGGTTCAGACAAAAATAAAAGGAGAGTGATGGAAATCATTCCTGATGTTGGCATATGCCATGCCACCCAACGAGAAATGGGATCGAGTATGGTAACTGAAGAGATAGCACGCAATTTAAGAAAATTCAAACTGAGTAGGGGAGACTCCAGGAAAGTGGTCCTCTTTGGATAGGACAAAGAGGGGAATGGAGCCCATCGGATTCCAGCCTGCTTGTGTAACTTTGGAGAAAAACCCTGCTGGTGGCTCTGTGATGACCTGGGAATCTTGGCGGGAAGAGATCCCCGACCCGTTAAGAGCTTCCAGCACGCACCACGGTCAAGTCTCAATGGCACCCAGCCTCCAACACAGGCTTTGTCAGGCATTTGTGTCCTGTGTGCTCCTGGGGCTCTTTCCTTCATGCTCTCCTTTCTCATGGCCTGAAAGCTTAGCTCTCCTCATTACAAGTTCCCCCTGACTGCCACTAGCTGTTCCTCTTCCAGGGTATTTCTCTCTGGGAGATGGAGGCGGTCACGGAGACGAGAGTCTGCATTACCAATCATGTCTGCCGGTTCAAAGGAAGGAGATGGAAAAGTGCACGTATAAACGAGGCCAGAGGAACACCTACCAATGCCTCTTAGATTTTGTCTGGATGCTCAGAGCCTGACCAGCAGCAAAGAGACCCTCTTTGTTATGGATTACCTACTGCTTGGCATCGCTTATGCTGCTTCTTCCTCTCCTGCAACACATACACCGTCAAGTCCCCTAACCCTTCCGGAGGACGCCAGTACCCATGCTAGGTCCTCGGGTCATCTTCCCGAACAGCTGACATCATCTAACTTCGTAGCTAAAGTAAACATGTGGACAAGTTGCCACGTCGTGGAAAACGGGACCAGTGCAGAAAAATAAAGGACTTATTTGTCATTGAGAAGAGCATCCTGAGAAAGAACTGAGTGATTTTATTCCAAGTCCACAGTGTTCTCAAGAGTGTGGCCAGGATTTCTGACTTTACTAAGATGAGAAGAAACAGTCAAGCGTAGTGGGAGCTGTGTGGTTTGCAAACCTAAAATCAAATCTGATCACGTGGGTCACAATGGTTTATTGATATTATAAAGGTGACTTCTCTGATTTTTTTTAACAGCAAGAAAGCTTTGGAAAATATAAACGAGGTGATTTAAGTCTTTCTAAAAAGAAAAGAATGGGGTCGGACAAGAAAAAGTTAAAGTTTATTTTGGTCTATTAATTGTACCCTGTTTTCCCTTCAACTCCACAGTGTCTACTCTAATACAAAAGTGATTAGTAAAGTATAAAAATCCATTTGTGGGAAAAATGAATTAAAACTGCTGCTAACCAGAGAATACACTTAAACGTGCTCTACTAAACAGACACATTTAGTAAAAACTGCCTGCGGCCATTAATGAAAATAACCAAAGATGTATGTAAGGAGGTGCATACAGATGAAAACCTGAATGGAAATCACAGTGAGAAATACTAGAAAATAGCAAAGAAATGTCAAGGTTCTTCTTAGCTAACCTCAAATCTATAAGAGTGCTCATTATAAACATTACACCTACAACATTAAAAAAAATCAGCAATATCAAGATGAGTCACACGTTAATTACAACAAAAGAGGAGTCTTAAAGCTGATCAGCATGTGAAATCTCACTCCAAAACCCTTTGAAATAATTAGGTTCTCCTGCTCCTGGAATCTTAGGAGTGAACACTAATCTTAGAAGGACAGGACTGTAATAATATTAGCTGCTATTATCAGTAACTATATTTATCTTAAAGCGGTGTATTCTCTTTCTCATTCCGCTGTTTCCACGAATACTGGTATAAAGAGAGTTCTACACTACAATCTAGAGAAAGGAACCAACTCACACAAGTGGAGGGAGTGAATGGATATCCTAAAAGGCACCCAAATGCATGCAAAATATCATCGGCGAGTTTTCAGTTTTTACATGGATCAGATAATACACGTAATAGTAACTAACAAATAACCATCTCTACGTCTTGTAATTACGCTGAAATTTTTGCTGAATGCTTCAAACAGCTAATAGACACATGCACTAAAATGAGCATCTTCAACCTATGAAGAAGTTTGACAGCTGTGTAAGTATATATGGAGTCCTTTTCAGAGAACCATAGATAGAAACGAAGATGCTAATAGATCACTCTTCATTCATTAGAATATCTGAAAATTCTAAACCTTAGGAAAAAGGTTTGAATATATGAGTATCAGTGGAAATTGTCAGATTTTGGAATGTGAAAGACTCAAACACTGATGACAACAATTTCACTCCGTCAAAGACTCCCAGAGTCAATTCAATGGAAAGAATATTAAATGAATACATAATATCTGCAGAAAGAGCATCTACTGGTATTACTTTCAAGTATGTTTAAGTTAATGCTTCTATACAAGACAAGCAGGAACCTATTACTTCTAGAATGATCAGACCTCCAACAGGATTACAGGCATAAATGCCTCTCAAAAGTCTAGTGCTGTCATGTTGACTCCCAAGCACTGGGTATATTCAGTCAAATTGGCCCAATCCAGTGGGTCCGCGAACAAATGTCCCAGATTCCGGAAACTGACAGGCATTCAGCGCTTGCCTGTGGCCAGACCTACTCCCAAAAACAAAAGAGGTGCACCTTCAGGCACACACACATTTGGGATTTTATTGAAAACAACCCAGGCTAAAAGACACAAAGGTTGTGAGACAGAACAGTAGGGTCTGTTTCAAGATCTAAGATTCTAGATTTGCACCATGTGCTTTGTAACCCAGGCAGCATGGCTCATCTCTCTTCTTATCATTTCCTCCTGTGGAGGATGGTCATACTTAAAAGGTATAGGTAGAAAAATACTCTGAAAGCTATAATATTCCATTCCATTGCTATTACTCTTATGGAAAGGCCATAACCAGTTGACGGGTCAGTGGGCAGATGGTCGGCTTGAAGTCTGCTTATTGGAGTAACTCACTGGCTGCACAGTGTTTTCAAATACTTCTCAACAACTACATGGACAGAAAACCTCAAGGCACACCTGAAAAATACCAAATTAAGTCAACCCAGCAAAACCTTTCACGCTGATTATTTCTGCAGGTCTAATAGAGATTAATGCTAAAATTAAAACAGACATGTACCTCTGCAAGTGATCTACTGTCCAACACAGACCAGGTTAGAAACTGCATGACCTGACATGGAACAGGACTTCCTAATCAGTATTACTCTCATCAAGAACATGTATGTAAGCACTAGGGACATGTTTTAGTTTAATGAATGAAAAAATATTTTCCCGAGGCAGCAGTCCAGTATGTACATCCATAAATACATATATGTTCACACACACCAAGCAGAAATGTCCTTCATGTTTATCTTTCTTCCCTAATCTTCATATCATTACACCGAAAAGCTGCACTCTGCCGCCTCAAATGGACTTTGATTCATTGTCTTTCTGAAGGTGTAAATCAGAGATCTTGCCTCATTCTATAGTGTATGTCCTTGAAAACTCGCTTTCAAAAATCCAAATCAGCTGCTGTTACGTACTGGTGTACACGTTTGTCTAAAAGGTGACTAATTCAGACCACCTTCAACACAGGAGTATCTGCTGACTCTATCAAAATCTAAATATGGAAACTTAGCTACTGGGGTTTTCCTGAAAATCACAATCTGGTGAGCGTAAGACATTCAACTCCCTAGAAGTGTCCTTAGCAGCCTGTCAACAGTCCTCGCTTATTATCAGCCTCCTCGCCCCTAGAAGCTCTTAATTCTTTTATGTCCAATGGTTGCAATTTGTGGCAAAATGTGTGATCGTGGGGTATGATTTTTATAGCATCATCTAGGGTATAAGCAATACACAAGGCAGTGAGTAAAGCCGAAGGTAAGGAGATCAACGATTATTAAATGAGATGTAACTCAGACGGAAAAATCGTTAAGCGGATTTTATAAGCGAGCTCTGTCATGGGGTATAGATGTGGTAGCCCACCTCCTCCACTCCTGCACAGAAGGGGAAAAAGAAAATCCTGGTCGTTTAGAAGCAATGACATTTCATGTGGTGAGTGATTCATTTGAGGGCTCTAAATTCTCTTGATCTTTGCTTCTGAAGCTTGAGGGTTGAAACCCAAGGGCAGGTGGGATCTATGAAGACTGCCAACTGCCATTCCTTAGAGTGTTTGGTAAAATAGGCTATTTTTAAAATTCAGCAAGGTGGGCGTTGATTCTTCCTAAAACAGGTTTGAACAGCAAAATTTACCATTAACCTCTTCCTTGCTGCTGGAAGCCATCCGGCAGTAAGGGTCATCCCACTCTGTTTCCCAGGACACACCCCCACGCGTCTCTTACCCAGCACCGTGATTGTGGTATAACTTTCTTGTGGGGGGTCAGTGTAGAGCTGGCAAAAGTATCTCCCTTCATCCGAAATTGAGACATTTGTCAGCGACACTTTGAGTTCACTGCTAGAAAAATTCAGCAACTGAAACCTGCTGTCCTTTAAAGCTGTGAAACAAAACACAGAGGTAGTGATTAGTAGGAAGACACGACACACAGTCCATTTTCCTTATCTAGGGGAGGAGAATGTTAGGAGACTCGAAAAGCCACTACAGAGAAGAAAAGTCGAGTAAGTCTTCGTGCACCTGTTGGGTACTTCTTCATACTTCTTGAATTACTATTTTGGGCTTCTGCAATAACTGCATGTAGACAAATAACCCTGGTCTGAAAGGAAACTGACACACACGAGGGCTTATGGGTGTAGGCACACACGTGTGTGCTCCTTGCTGTCAGTTTCCAGCCCTTGTTCATAAACTGTTTCAGATTTTCCACCGGAGTTCAGTAAAATGAAAACAGAACGAAAGCGCAGGCTGTGGGCACTGAAAGTTCAGGGAGTAGGACCTATATAGGCTTTTGAGTTGTCTCTGAAAATCTGAGGCCTTAAAAAAAAAAAAAGCGGTTCCAAATTATGAAGATAAAAAAATCATTATCAGTAATTTCAAAAACAAGATGGAAGTAATTAAAAAAAAAAACTTCATAGCAAAACAATCCAATTTAACTTGGATGCACCTTTGTATTTGGTACTGTTGGAGGTGGAGCTGCCCAGAGTCCACGATCCAGGGCCTCCCAAAGCCTCAGACCCCGCCTGCAGTTTCCTAATTGCATTCAACTTCACAATGGGAAACAGATGAGGATAAAGCAGGAAATCACAGCCACCACAAAAATCACGTCTGTGGGCTCTTTATTAATTTCAAATATTCACTTTTAAAGTCCTTGTGTCAATTTTGACAAAGGCTAAATTCATTTATAATGACAAAAATTCACTCTAAAAATGGCTGGCTCCTCTTCTTTTACCTTCCTTCGTGCTCTGAGCTGTTCCTTAGTTTTGTCAACTCTTTCCACAGTTCATGAATGTTCTGGGCCATTGGGGAGAACAGGGACAAGCAGATGTGAAGGGACATCTGCTTTGATTAGGCACCCATGCTCCCAAAGAGCGATCTTTTGAAAGACCCGATTCCTGCTCTGGTTAAAGCTCTGACATCCATTTGAACCATTTCTGGGGTATACAATTAAGTTCCAACGAGTACTTTTTGGGATATTACATTTGGTAAGACTTCATTCAGCACATGGTAACCTCTGTCTACCAGACCTTATGGTGATAGGAGATTTTGGCTTTGTCTTTATAGGCACACATTGCCTTGGAAACTTCCATCTTCAAACCAAACAGATTACCCTTCAGAATGCTCTATTTTCCTTGCCTTACCCTATTTGAGTTGTTTGTGTCAGCTAAGTATTTGGGACTCAATTGCAATTCACCTTGAATTACTACAATCAATTCCTATTGCAAAGTAAGACTGCTTTACTTTTAAAAGGGACCATTCAAGGTTTCTATTAAGTAGAAAGATTATGATTGCATGTCTCTTCTTCCCTCTGAAGAATTGACTAAACTTTAAGCATCTAACATTAAATTTAGAAAAGGAGGCCTTGGTAATCTCTTTATCAAGACAACATGTAAGAAAAAAAAGTTGCCACCTAATGCTACAGAGATAGAAACTTACGCCTGAAGTCTCTGAAATAAATGGTCTGCCTGTTGGGATTCAGCAGCTGAATCACAGAGTCGTCACTCTTATTGACTTGGCAGCTGATGGTTGCGACTTCTCCCTCGATCACTGTCACATCTTTCGTAAACAAATTCTGTCCATCGCCTTAAAAAAAAAAAAAAGGAGAAAGGAATTTCCATCAATTAAAATTTGGTTAATGACTCAGTTAGAACGAAAGACAAGAAACGTATTCCAAAATGGGCACCAAGGGCGATACTGGGGTGGCTCCCATCTTCCTCCTCAGTCCACAAAGTGAGTCCGTTGATCCCAGAGAGACCCAGGGGCAAAATGTGACTAAGCCTGGGATCAACATGCTCTCAAAAGTCGTGATGCCCACGTCCCAGCCCCCGGTTTCCTGTACCAGTTGAGGAGTGTGCTGGAAAGGTATGGAAAGGTCAGAGAGCTGACTTTTCTAAGAAGCTGCAGCTCTCACGAATGGAGTAGGGGAGAAGCATATACTCCACCTCAGCTCACATGCCCTTGAGCTAAGCTATTTGGTCGCCTCACAGAAAACTCAAGGGGCCACTTAATAGAAGTAGGGAGGAGGGCTCAGGAAATAATCTCATCTTGTTAGCGGATGTCGTCATTCCCAAGGTATAGGCCGTTCCACTGTTTACTGGGTGGGAGTGAGGACCTACCCAACTAGGACGCTCTGGAATCCCAATAATATCCTGGGAAGGCTTAAAGTTCAGTCGGTTACTCTGCTCTCAGAAACTCATGCCTTCACGACTCACCCAAAGCCCCAGGCGGTCCCAAACCATGCCCCTTCTGTCGATCACCCCCACCTAGCCATGCAGACGTTCTCTTTCAGAACTTGGCACAAAGTCAAGGCGTTCAGATCCACTGATCGAAGGCTCATCTCCAGATCTGCTCTCGTTTGTTGCTGCTATGATTAGTGACAGCAGTCAGGGGCCCTCACAAATGACCCGTATGATCCACAGCGCAGGTAGGAGAAGAGGAGAATTCAATTCATCAGCCGAAGATGAAGTAATTGTTGAATGTCCTATTCTGCACCCAGCACAGCAGAGGATATAGAAATACGGGGCACTGTCCTGGCCTTTCAGAAGCCGCCACGTGAGTGAAAACTGGTATCTAATCTTCATGTATGGAATAAAAAGTGTGGAATGGGAAATGTGTATAATGGTCGATCAGGAAGGGGAAGAGAAGATTGCTTTTTGGCTGTATGACCTCAAGTAAAGTATTTAAAGTCCCTGAGCCAGTTTCTCATCTGCAAAATGGGGACAGTAATTCAAAGCCCTCTCAGAGAGCTGTCGGAAGGACTGAGGAAGGTAATAAATCTAAAGCATTTAGCACCGTGTCTAGCTTCTTATAAAACTGAATAAATGGTGGCTGCCGTCATCATCACCATCACCATCCTCTCTCTAGTTGTCAAATCCCAACGTTAATCAGGCAACCCCACGTGTTCAGTGTGGATACAAGAATGAAGGCTCACTGCCCCCTTCCCAAGCTTTCTAGGTAATTATAGATCGGGGTGGTTCGTTCACTCCCCCCACCAAAACAAACACAAAAGAAAAGCCCCAAACCCAACTTTGTCACATTTAGAAACAAAGATCAAAGATAAACACTACTGCAAGACAGGGAGTGAGAGAGCGGGCGCATAAACAGAGATGCAATTAGAGTAAATGGAGGATTTCCACCTGCTATCATATTTCTGCTGAAGGATCCTTTTTTGGCAGGGCACAGCGAGGAAGTGTGTGGCAAGGGTGTCTGAGATGGCTTTAAGCCAAATCCACCTAGAAAGAGAACAGCCTCTGATAGAGGATTAGAAAGGAGGGAACTAGGGGGGTAAGGACAAAATTATTAGAGCCACAGACAAACAAAAATTCTTGGTGCTTGAAGGAGCCAACCAAAGTAAAACCCAACCCTGAGATCTCTGACGCAGGGAATTAACCTAGGTGTGAGGAACGCAGGCCCACTGGGCTTGTAGTGAGCGAAAGGGTAAATTTTCCCTAGCTTGATCCAGCAGTGAAGGCTGAGTGGGCTGAACAATGTTGTGGAATAACAACAAAGAGAAAAAGTGATCAAAAAAAAAAAAAAAAAACCCCACGAAGGAATGCTTATTTTTCCCTCCATAGATTTCTCCGACAAACACAGAATTCAGAAGCCAGCTGGAGGGAGCAGTGTATTCCCAGATTTGAGAAAAGAACAAGGAAAGGGGAATTCTTGCCAATCAAGCAAGCTTTTCAAGGTAGTTTTTCACTGGCACTGGCAAAAGTATGTACAGAAAGGACGATACCCTTATTTCCTCAGGGTAACCTAGAATCTAGTAAGAAAATTAAGGAAAAATTAAACCACCCAATTCCAATGTTGCATCGGTCGGAAGTCATGGGACTTGCCCTGAGGCGATTAGAATACCAAATAGGGTCCAACTCGGTTGCAGGTGGAGAGTTCCTCCATCTAAAGAAGTTTGCTACCATCGTAAATAAGAATCTTCCATGTCCAAAAGGAACCCATGGAAAGGCCACCCGGGGATAGGCCTCAATCCCTTCAACATCAACCATGCCTTACAGATCCTAACCACCATCTTGGGGGTGCCAGAACTTCAAGCCAGTTGCTATTCAAATGGACCCTAATAAGATACTCTCTGTGGGACCCACTATACCTTTTAGTGTTAGTCCTTCCTCGGAATGCCGGTATAGTCTTCCTGAATAGCATCTGTATCCACATTAAAGCTATCAGATGTTAGCATCGGAGATGGGGACAAAGAGGAGGTGACCGTGATTCTGTGTTTTGCACAATTAAGGTAATAAAACAGAATCAGAGGGGGTTTGTCTGTTAAAAAGTCTACACCTTCTTAATTATTACTTATAATTAGGTAACATAAGACCGAATCACTTTAGTGTGCTATTATGAAGTCATTCCGGTAAAATTTTTGCCATCTGCACATTTTTGCCCTTGTGTGCTCTGGCACATGATGTGCTCTGCAAATCCACGGTGGTGTCATCATCATTACTGTATTATTTTTTGAAATTGCTAAAGCCAACCTCAAATCCGATGTCTCAGAAAATGACAGTTCCTAGCTATGTTAACATGGTTACAATACTAATGCTAAAAAATCACAAGCGATAATGAAGTATTTTGCTGAAAGAGATCAAAGTGCCTTGGCTGATGCTGGTGGCCCAAGAATGTCACTGTAAAAATCACCAATAAATTACACGGGTCAGCTGGACAGCAGTTATATTAAACAGAGCTCCATACTTCGAGGCACCATAGGATATGCTGCAATGGAATAATAATGACCTATTTATTTGAGGCGCCGAATGTGAATGACAGTGATGAAAATACGATTTGTATGTCAGTACTCTTAACTGCCTGAAGCCTTTATGTAAAAATAATTTCTGCTCACATCCTCAAATATTTCTTCCAAACAGAAGGGTGCACTCTGACTTGATAAATTTCCCCTTGAAACAGATATCACGACAATTAGGTTGTTACAGAACACAACTTGAAGTGTAGCAGAAGGGTACAAACAGGCAACGTAGGTACCTTTCTTAAATAGTCCGTTTAAAAAACCTTCCTGATTTTCTAAAACTCAATTAGCAGATACACTGTCAAGGCAGAAATAGCACATGTTCTGGGCAAAAGAAATCAAGTAGGTACAATACACTGCAGCCATTAAAGAAGGCTGTTAACAGCAAGGTAATTTATTTTAAGGGCGGAACAATGTCTGACATGTATAGACATTTTTGACTGCTAATTGGTTTGTATGGGTGAGGTTTAAGACAGCATCAAACTGGATTTTTATTTATATCAGCAACTGTATTCCCTAGAACTTCCCGATTTGCCCCCCAATTTCTAAAAATACAACTCTGGCTCTGGAGAGGCCAGCAAGTCTCCCGCAGTATACTAGAAGTTGCTAGGACATTTATTACAAGACAGAGAAAGCATATTGTCTAAGAAAAGAAAAAAAAAAATACTTCGATGATTAGTAAAGACCATCTGAGCAGAGTTCATTAGGGCTGGAGTGGAGGTGGGGGTGCCACGGGCTCATCAGTCCCCTATTCGTTCAGTCTTCAACTGGCTTAACTCAGGGATTCTTTCCTGAAACCTCCTTTGGTTGCAGACTACTTCAATGGCATTACACACAACCGAGGCATCGACTGCCATCTACATCCTCCATAGTATGGCCGCCCAAATAGGGTGATGGGGCCGATCGTAGGGCCAGAGGCCAGAAGGAGGAGAGGGGAAGGGGGCAAACATTTCTCCAGTGCCAGGCACAGTGCTCGGTGCCTTGCACACGTTTCCCTCTCAAACTCCTGGAGTTTCCAATACCCCCAACTTTAAAGGTTAAGAACAGGAGACCCAGAGCAGTTCAAATAAGTTGCCTAATGTAATTCAGCTAAGTGCCGGGGCTGGTGTTTGAACCCAGTTCTGTCAGCTTTCTCTGGCCCATACAGTTTGTACTTTTAACCCAGCCAACCTCAGGGTCTGTTGCCAAGGTTCTATTGGCTCTGCTTGGAGAATTAACTTGTTTTTAAAGAGGATTATTTCCCAATGAGCAACTTCTGATTTTTTTTTTAATTTCCGTAATTTATCCAGAACACAATTAAGCACTTGAAGATGAGAGAGAAACTGTCCTGACTGTAAAGCACCTTGTTGACTATGGCTTCTTTCTCTCGGCACTTGACACCCTTTGCCCCTGGAGAACGCCTTCGATCCCTGAGCATGGCAGTCATTTGCCAGAACAGGGAGCTCGCCTCCGCTGCCCGGCTGCTAATAAAGAAAGCACTTCATTTACACCAGGGGAGTCTCTCCAGTCAAGTCTATAATAAAGGGCAAGTCAGAGTTAGAACAGAATTTGGTTTATACTATGGCAACTATGTAAACTCTTACTGACACCAAGGAACACAGATGACTCTTCACTGGGAAGACAGTTTGCCCAGAGAAAGAGCAAATAGAGTCCCTTGACCTACTCCTTCAGTAGCAAAATCATATTAAGGAATTCTTTTTTCCTCCCCTCCCCTCCCCTCTGCTACATGGAAGACTGCACCTAACATGAAATCGGCACAGTCAGGCTACCTAAAAAGTCAAACCAAAAAAATAGATTGCAAAAACAAAACAAAACAAAAAACAAAAACAACAAC